AGTTAATTTTTATTCTTATTTTTATATTAAAAATTAACTATACATCTTCCAACATAATACAAATTATTTACTCTGAATATTTTTTTGACATTATGGAATCAATTTATTTGAAATAAAATAATTTTTTAAAGGAACTAACCGATTATTTAAATATAATTTTTATGCTAATTTTATTGATTATTGTGTGTGTGTGTGTGTGTGTGTGTGTGTGTGTGTGTGTATCAAATGCATATACTTGAAAAAAACAATCTTCTCACCAATATTAAACAAGAATAAAATTTTATTTTTTCATTGATTAATTTTTATGCAAGTCTATACATTAATTTAACTTTATTTTTTGGATACATTATTGTAAAAAAAAATATAATTTTAACCCCTAGCTGATGCACTACACATGTTTTTTTTCTTTGATTTTTTTCATCAATTTATGTTCTTTCTTTTTTATTTAATTGAGTGTTAAAATTTTAAAAAATCAATTGTTATTTTTTTCCATATAAAATGATTTTTATTCAATATATACGATATATTTTTAGATTTTAGAATAAATATATACTATTCTTATTGTTTAGAATTGATCTTTTCAATTTATTATAAAAATTCACATCAAGTTAATTTTTATTCTTATTTTTATATTAAAACTTAACTATACATCTTCCAACATAATACAAATTATTTACTATGAATATTTTTTTTAACATTATAGAATCAATTTATTTGAAATAAAATAATTTTTTAAAAGAACTAATCAATTATTCAAATACAGTTTTTAATGCTAATTTTATTGGTTATTTTGTGTGTGTGTGTGTGTGTGTGTGTGTGTATCAAATTCATATACTTGAAAAAAAAAAAATCTTCTCACCAACATTAAATAAGAATAAAATTTTATTTTTTCATTGGTTAATTTTTATGCAAGTCTATACATTAATTGTAATTTTATTTTTTGGATACATTCTTATAAAAATATATAATTTTAAAGTATTTTTTTTAATTATTTTTTTTTGAATTCTTAATTAATATTTCAGGTTTAAATTATTACAAGCTTTTATTTAAGAATCCATGAATAAAGAAGAATAAATCAAATTTTTTAAGCAGAAATTTTATGAAAAACACACAAAAAATAGTTCTAATGAAATAAAAAATTAATGAAAAAAATATGAAATTTTGAAGTGATTTTATTCTATCTACCTGTAGCATTGCATGGATAATTTTAAAAATTAATTTTCTCATTAGCATTAAATATATTTGTTAATTTTTGTAAGAGTTTTTCCATTAATTATAACTTTATTTTTTGGAATACAATATTATGAAAAATATATTTTAAAAGTTTTTTAATTCTTGATTAATATTTTAGTTAAAAGTATTACAATTTTTTTAAAAAATCAATCCATAAAAGATCTGAATATTTTTTTGACATTATGAAATCAATTTATTTGAAATAAAATAATTTTTTAAAGGAACTAACCGATTATTTAAATATAATTTTTATGCTAATTTTATTGATTATTTGTGTGTGTGTGTGTGTGTGTGTGTGTGTGTATCAAATGCATATACTTGAAAAAAACAATCTTCTCACCAACATTAAACAAGAATAAAATTTTATTTTTTCATTGATTAATTTTTATGCAAGTCTATACATTAATTGTAACTTTATTTTTTGGATACATTATTGTAAAAAAAATATATAATTTTAACCCCCTAGCTGATGCACTACACATGTTTTTTTCTTTGATTTTTTTCATCAATTTATGTTCTTTCTTTTTTATTTAATTGAGTGTTAAAATTTTAAAAAAAATCAATTTTTTTTTCCATATAAAATGATTTTTATTCAATATATACGATATATTTTTAGATTTTAGAATAAATATATACTATTCTTATTGTTTAGAATTGATCTTTTCAATTTATTATAAAAATTCACATCAAGTTAATTTTTATTCCTATTTTTATATTAAAAATTAACTATACATCTTCCAACATAATACAAATTATTTACTATGAATATTTTTTTTAACATTATAGAACCAATTTATTTGAAATAAAATAATTTTTTAAAAGAACTAATCAATTATTCAAATACGGTTTTTAATGCTAATTTTATTGGTTATTTGTGTGTGTGTGTGTGTGTGTGTATCAAATTCATATACTTGAAAAAAAAATCTTCTCACCAACATTAAATAAGAATAAAATTTTATTTTTTCATTGGTTAATTTTTATGCAAGTCTATACATTAATTGTAATTTTATTTTTTGGATACATTCTTATAAAAATATATAATTTTAAAGTATTTTTTTTAATTATTTTTTTGAATTCTTAATTAATATTTCAGGTTTAAATTATTACAAGTTTTTATTTAAGAATCCATGAATAAAGAAGAATAAATCAAATTTTTTAAGCAGAAATTTTATGAAAAACACACAAAAAATAGTTCTAATGAAATAAAAAATCAATGAAAAAAATATGAAATTTTGAAGTGATTTTATTCTATCTACCTGTAGCATTGCATGGATAATTTTAAAAATTAATTTTCTCATTAGCATTAAATATATTTGTTAATTTTTGTAAGAGTTTGTCCATTAATTATAACTTTATTTTTTGGAATACAATATTATGAAAAATATATTTTAAAAGTTTTTTTAATTCTTGATTAATATTTTAGTTAAAAGTATTACAATTTTTTTAAAAAATCAATCCATAAAAGAAGAATGATTTATGTTTTTTAAGCATAAAATTTATAAAAAACATTAAATAAAATAATTAAATAAAAAATTAAAATTAAAATTTTTTAAATGATTTTGTTCTACTTGTATTTATTGTGGGCAACGGCTAGTATTAACTAAAATAAAATTTTTTAACAAAGAGTAATAACAAGTTCTATGTCTATTAGAAAACTGACTCCTACTAAGAGATCAAATCCTTGGGATATAAGGATTGAAGACTAATGCCATAACACCTTTCCTAAAACCAAGCTCTTCAAATTTCTTTTAAACTTAAAGAACAAATTAGTTTTAAGTGGCTTCGTGAAAATGTCATCAACTTCATCTTCGAGAGAATAAAACTCAATTATGATTTCTTTAACTTTCAAGCAAATCACAAATAAATCTATGTGCATAAAGTTTGCAACTTCTCCTTCTTTTCCTTGTGAGCACCTTTGTAATAATGTTTTAAAACATTTTTTTTTTTTTTTGCATATATGATCTATTAAGTTGTGGAGACCGATGTGAATGGGGACTCATAGTATAAGGCACTATAAAGATATAGTATGGGATCAAGGGGGAAGCACCCTTTGCGGAGGCTCGAGAGCGAAACCTCTAAGAGGCCTATAGAATATTGAGTTAGATATATAGGCTCGTTAGGCTTTTTTTATCCATACTATAAATAGAGACAACATCACTTGTATTTATAACCGTCACTTGATAAAACTTAATAAGAAATCTTAATACAAGCTGTGGAGTAGGAACCATTGTCGAATCATGTAAAATCTTTGGATTGTGTTATTGTGTTTGTCTTTTTACTATATTCTTTTGCTTGATTCGTTTCCTAATAACTTGTATCATAGCCCAAAGTTAGCATGGTGAGGAAGAACGATAGCGAGAATAAGGAAAAGCTAGAATTGATAAGTTTGACGAGAAAAGGCTTTAAATTCGAAAAGATGAAAATTGAAGATTATATGTACTAGAAAAAGCTACACAAACCTCTACCAGAAATAAGTCAAAGGAGATGAAAGATATTGTTGACTAGGTTTTATTGGATCGTCAAGTTTTGGGTGTTATTCGACCGTTTTTGATGTGATACTTTGCATTCAACATCGTGAAAAAAAACTATAATAGATCCGATAATGACGTTGTCAAATATGTATGAGAAGCCATCTAACTCATATAATGTATTTTTGATGCATCGATTGTTCAATCTAAAGATGGCAGAAAGTGCATCTATAACTAATCCCATCAATAATTTTAATATGTTGAATACCTAATTGGAGTCGGTAAATATTGTGTTTGACAATGAAGTTAAGGTACTGATTTTGTTATCTTCTCTGTCCGAGAACTCGGTCTGAAATAATAAAAGATGTAAGTAGTTTATCAAAAACGAGATAATTCAACCTTTTGAAAGATATGATACCGAGCTTCTTGATTTTTTTTTCTTGATACGATTTGTCTCTTGCACCTTCATTGATTCCTAAATTTCATTCTTAATGACATCCCAAGCATCAATATACTAAAAAAAAAACATTGCATCTGAATTTTTCAATGTTCAAAATTGTTTTTGCCATTAAATTTGAACATTGAATAATCGACAAATTTTATATTGAAACCCATTCTTCTAATTGAATGGCTCCGCTACCAATAGAAAAATTAGAAATACGCAAACACTATTTATTTTATTATTTCAAAAACTTGCACTAATTTGTTTAAAAATCAAAATTGTAACTCAACTCACACAACATATTTTTCTAAACCACACAGAACATTAATGTTGTTTTTTAATCACTAAAATTGCCTAAAAAACACCGAGCTCTTACATTTATAGAAACTCTACACCAGCAAAAACAAAGTCTTACAGTATCTAAGAAACCAATTTTAACTGGGATGCAAACGAATCCTATGTCAAGTAGGAAACATACTATTAAGATATCAAATCCTTAAAGACAAAAGAATGAAAAACTAATATCCACTTGATTTAGTTTCAACATATTATCACTATTAATTAGAGATTAAATATTATATACAAGTCACGTGTTTTCCTAAAAACTTGTAAAGAATCATGAAACGGTTGGTGATTTTATTATAATGTAAATTGTATTTTTATATAACATCGGTGGAAGTGCAATGCCTAATGATTTTTAATTTTATCAATCTTTTATAAACTTTTCATCTTTTATATTTTATAAGAAAATTTTCAAATCATATGTTACTTAATCGAAAAGTAAATTGAAAATAATATAAAAAGTGTCGATTAAACATTCTATATTTAAAAGTTTAAATTAGAACAAAATTTAAAGGATGTCAAATATTAAGAAGGTCTACAATGCAAAGCGGGATTTGTTATTATGGGCCGGGAGCGTTGCATCATGTGAGCATCTCAGAAAGGGCCCCTCCGCAGCCTTAGAAATCAAACAGTATAGGCATGATGCAAGGTCCAGCAAGGAGAAAAGGACAGGTAACATCAATCATGGAACTCTCCCTTATTTTTTTCCTTTTAATTTCAGTTTCCCTTTGCCGATTTTCTTAAATTATATAATTAAGTTTAAGTTTAGAATTAGCAAGGTCCACGAAACTTGCACAAGATTATGCTGTAAGTAAAAACAAAAGTTGATCCTCTCATCTATCCTTATGTAATAAATCAAATTTTCAATCAATTTTTTTTAAAAAAAAATCTTTAATTTATCATTATATTTTGAATTGGTTTCTAATATATCATTTTAATTAAAATTTCTGACCTCATTACAAATTAAACATTTGATTTGTACAAAATATGTGATTTGACAAAATTATCTTTATTATTTATTTATTACAAGTGATTTATATCTATTAATATAAAAATTAATTTCTTAAAAATGATTAAAAATTTTGATAAAAACGATAGATTAGAAACTACCTCAAAATATAATGACAAATAAGAGACGTTTTCTTTTTAGAAATATATTGAAAAATTAACTTATTATATAAGAACATGTGAAGGTATTAATATGGAAACAAATAGTTTATGCTTTTTAGCGTTCATTTGGTGAAAGAAATTTCAGCATGTTAAGAATTCATGGATAGAAAGGTAAGTCAATGTACTGTTTTTCTTCTATCTGTAGGCTTAAAGATCTAATAGAAATAATGAGAGTAGTAATCATTCATTACATAATAACATAAAAAAATTAAATACTTATTCTTCAATAAGAATTGAACTTGCATTATTTAAAAAAAATATTTAGAACACAAAAGTATTTCAATCCAATCCAAATTATTTAATTTAAAATTAAAAAATAAATTAAAACATGACGGTCATATATATATATATATAACAAAAAATGAGACCTTTTAAAAACATGATGATATTTAAATCCATACAAAAAAATAAAATAAAAAAATTGCAACGACTTGTATGAGGCAAGTCATGTTGATGTAACAACTTGAATGGAGGAGAGAAGCAATGGTCATAGACATCTTTAGTCCAAATTAGGAAATCAAATCCAATCTCAAAAAAAAAAAAAAAGAAAGAAAGAAGCAATAGGTAAGTTTTGTTCAAATTTAAGGTGACTGTCGTAACCCTAAATTCTGATGTAAGCAAAACGCATTGCCAATAATATGTAATATATTTAAAAAGAATGAAAAGGAAAAGAGAGCTGCTGGTTACATTGAAAAGCTCCCAAAGGCAACTGAAAAGATTTTGGCATAGAATTGAAAACTTGCATGAAGAAAATAAAGCATGATGGGGATAGGCATGAGGCAGGACAATGTGTCAAGTCTATACACACGTGATGATAGAACGCTTCGAAGTTGGGCATGTCCTGTCTAGCAAAAAATCATTAAAACAAAAGAAGAATAGAGAAAATAATATATAATCATAAAATAGTCGCTTATCCGCGTTATGCTACAGTTCTATAAAAGAAATATTATTTTAAAATTTTTTATTTAATTAAAATTTTAATTTTTTTAAAAAAACATAAATCATTCTTCTTTATGAATTAATTTTAAAATAAAAATATAATAATTTTAATTAAAATATTAATTAAAAATTAAACAAATTTGTTCTTTCTTATGAATTTATTCTTAAATAAGAACTCATAATAAACAAATTTTAATATAAAATTTTAAAAAACATCTTAATATTTTTTTATTACATTGCATCAAAGAAATAAAACAATAATTAATATAAAAATTTGTATGAAAATTAACAAATGAAAATATTTTTACCGATGAGAAAATTATTTTTAAAAATATATATTTATCTACAAAATAATGAATAATATTAGGATACAAAATTATATTTAAATTATTATACGGTTATTCTAAAATATTATTTCAATTATTTTATTTAAAAAATTCTTTTAAATATTAAAAAAATAATAACAAATAGATGGTATTGTGTGTGTCGATGCATAATTCATTTCTAATAAAATCAATTATTCTAATGTTATTATTTTATATGTATCACGATCGTACTCAATAGGTGAGAATATATAAAATAAATTAAAAAAATTAAAAAAAATTAAATGATAAAAAAATATATATTGAAGTTAATAGAGTGCAATGAAAACTATAAAAATGATTTCGATAAAATTTGATTATATAAAAAATAATAAAATAAAATACATATATTCAATTCTTAAAATTTTATTATATAAGAATTAAGCAAATAAAAACATGTATAAAAAAATTATTTGAATCTATATATAGAGAAAATAATCATATTTATTAATAAATAAAATAATAAAAAAATAAGAATAAAAATTAACTTGTGAGAATTTTTATCGAAAAATTAATTTTAAATAATAAGGGTAGTTTAAATTTATTCTAAAATCTAAAAACATATCGCATAAATATAAAAAATATTGTATATATTATATAATCGTCGGTTTGTGTGAAAACGAGTAATGATTGATTTTTCAAAATTTTAACATTTCATTAAATACAAAAAGAACATAAATTGATGAAAAAAAGTTAAAAAAAAAGGCATTTGTAGTACATCGGTTAGAAGATTAAAATTTTAGAGATCAAGATGAAACAACTTGAAAATTAAAAAAAAAAAAAAAAAAAAAAAAAAAACCTAGTTGACTTGAAAAGGCAAAGGAAAAAGAAAAACATGCAAAGTGAAACAACTTAAAAAAATAAAATAAAATAAACATAACTACAGGAATGAGTTATGATTTGATGGGGGTGAATAGCAATTTTCATTGTTCAAATCCTCAATCTGTTTTTGTTATATAGTAATAATAATAATAATAATTTTAATATCGTTTGAAAAAAAGTTTAATTTTAATTGATTAACTGATCTAAAAATGTATTTTATCGTGGAGTAAAAAAATAAAAATATCTACAATCCCAATGAATAAGTTTATTAGAATTTTCGCTCTATTAAATATAAAAAAGTGATTCACTTGTACAATTTTGGTTTTTTTGGTCCATGCATTAGAGACTCCATTTTGTAGTGGTTGGAATCAAGTTGGCATGTGATACGGGAAAGTGGATGAACAGTTTTGGCTCGATCGTTTTATGTTGCCGAAAATGGGTCTCTTGATCTTTCTTGTCTCTCATCCATCTCCATCAAACTTTAAAGTCATTTTCTAATATTTTGTCTGGAGATCCTATTCCCTTCTTGTCGCATTCAAAACTTTTTTTTTTTTTTTGGGATCTTAAGAGACTGAAATTTATATTTTTTTCTTTCGATCCACGTGAAAACAGAACAGATTTTTGAAGCCATTTCACAGATCTAGCTCTTGCCTTTGGGATGTCCAAAACAAACCTAGATATAATAATTTGTCCGTCTCTCAGAAGCTAAATGAAACACCCTCAATATATCGCTAACAAATTGTATTCAGATCTCAAAATTTCCAAATCCAAACCAACCATAAAAAACACCAACATGGCCTTCTTCTATCGCTGAAATTGACTTCTTTTGGGAGAAGAGTGCTGAAATTCTTTATCTGGTTGGCCTGGAAGTTCTCATAAGAGACCATCTTGTGGCTTTCCTATTTGTTTTTGTGATTTCCATTCTTGTCGAGTGGTTATACCATTGCCAATTGATCGAGCCTGATTCGAACTATGTGGCAGCTGGTCTACTCCAGGCTCTATAGCACGCTTTGCGAGTTGGTTTAGCCAATATGGTCATGTTGGCTGTCATGTCTTTCAATGGTGGTGTGTTCTTGGTTGCTGTGGCTAGGCATACTTTGAAGTTCTCGTTTTTTGGCAGTAGCGTTTTTGAGAAAACCCAAAATCATGTAAAAAGCTCTGATTTTCCTCCAATGAGTTGTTGAATTATACTAATTAGGAGGTGTCGGCAGGTTCTTAGATCTGGCTTTACAGCTCTGTCCTACCATAGATGTTTTGGTTTTCTTAATAGTCATTTTGTTTTCCCTGTTTTCCTTCTTTTTTCGTCCCGTTTGGCTGGGCTTCTGGTGGTTACAATAGAAGCAAAAGAAAAGCAAGGGAAGC